GTAGGTGAAACACTAGTCTCTGTAGACCATTGTAGGTTTAGTTACTGTTGGTAGCAACATACAGTTACTGCACTGTGTTTTGTGAATTCATAACGTTGGGTCCGGTCTTGCAGGAGATTTATAATTGAAGTCACCTATAGTAGTAAGTGATCTTTGTTCCAGCGTCATCAAGTTATCAAACTCCTAGAATTTTTTGACTAAATTTGGCTAATGTTGAACTGTGTAACACTGTATATGAGTATCAATGTGAGAGGTTTTTGAGGTATTTGATTTGAATTTCGCTATTATATAATCCCCATGTTCAACCCTTGTGCCAGTATTAGTGATAAAATCCTAGATGGTCCTATGTATATATGGCTGTGCACACCCCAAATTGGTCTGCCTACATTGTGTATGGCGTGGTTTTAACCAGGAATGGCAAAGAACATCAGTACTCATGCTTTAGCCAGGTTTCAGTTAGTGTAATGATGGAAAAATTGGCAATATTAAGGAATTTAGTAATGCTAATGAGGTCATCGTAATGCTTGCTTAAAGACTGATATTGTAGTTAAAGACAGTTATGTTGTTGTTTGGCACTGAAAGGCCCTTTGTGATTGTTCTGCAGTGTATAATTACAGTAACAGTTTGATTCATTTAAGTCATAAATAAAGAGGTATGGTTCAGGATCATGCTTGTAAACATAAGATTTGTAGTAATGCTATAGTAGAATTTAAATATAAAACAAAGTAAAATAATCTTAAAGCTAAAAAAAGAGCACCTGAATTATTTAACAAATGTAAAATAATGAGCTAAGGGACTAATACAAATAATGTGATGGATCATATAATAGAGCTTGGGAATAGATAGTAGTAATACATAAAGGTAATTTTTAAAGTTAGAATTATAGTTTTAAAATTCTAATAAAAAGGGACTAATATAGGTTTGGTGAAGAATAAAGTAGGTAATCAAATAATGAGCTTTGGAATTAATGCAAAATTGTGAACTTATTTCTACTTTAGTCACCTGGAGAATTAGCAACTTGATTATTTTAAAACAATTGTGGAATAAACAAACCTAGATAGTTAAATAAACTGCTAAAATAAAGGAGAAAATATATTAAGGGCTAAATTAAGTAATGGTAACAAAGTTAAAAATGGACAGATGTAGGAATTATAATATAAACGTATAATATAAAAATACACTTTGTGAAATGGTACTGTGTCAATTGCACTAGAGATGGTATAGGTTGTGACAAGATCAAGATTAGTAACTATAGAATAAATTGACAAAATAAAATTCACAATTAAAGTACCAAAAGAATAATAGTAAAAAAATCCAGCAATGGAAATAGTCTTGGGTTATAATATGATAGTAAGAGGGAATGACAGGTACACAGTACACAGTTAACAAAGGATAATAATAAAGGTTGGGGGTTGAATATAAAAACTTGAAAAATTGGCAACAAAATGTTAGGGGAAGTATAAAATAATGTTTAATATGTACAAAAAGTAAAATTGACTGGTAGTAAATATGTGTTTAATAAAATTTTAGTAAGTAATAATTATTACAAAAAAGTGAAAAATAATGTTTATTTCATTCAATATTGCACTGGTATTAAACTGAGGTTATAAGCCAGTACGAATGTAATTAAAGAGTACATCTAGGATAGAAATGTGTATTAAAACAGGTAAAGGCAATTAGACAAAATGATATAAATATCAAAAATGTTAAAGAGTAATAGAAATTTTAGTAAAAATGATAATATTAATTTTAGTAATAATATAAATTGAACAGATTTAAAAAAATAAGAGGTAGTAAAATGGACAGAGGAAAGTACAATTCACTAATGTTTTCAAGCGAACAATAGTAAATAAAAAAACCCCATAAGGTGAATATGCTTACTAGTAAAATTAAAAAATTGAGTTAGTTTGAATATTTAAATTACTAAGAGATTGTACAATGAAAATTTGAACAATAATGAGCAAAACATACACTCTAACTACACTAGCTAGGCTTTTAGTTGGACATTGTTTTATGTTATTCTCTTAAGATTAGTATCCCTGAGAAATCGTGATAGATCATTCTCGTTCGTGAATGTGTACAGTGACCTACATTTGTTTTCTAACTAAATTTTCCCATCCCGTGGAAGCATTGTGTATTGTGTCCTTATTCTCTCGCTTTATGTTTTCTGAACTCTATACAGGAGGTTCTGACGGTTTTTTGGTAAAGACACTCGTTTATGTATACCTCTTTCATTACTTTAATAGATATGCAATAATTAAGTTCTTTTCCTGTCATGTGAGTGGAATCTAAGCATGAACACCTTTTCGAACCTGGGATCCTAGTAACCTGGCTTCTTTTTTTCAGACTCTGGTACAATACACTAGTTTAGTCCTATATGTCTGCAGAGTAATAATCTTTACTGTTTGTTTGGTTCCTATCACTGGGAAAAATTGGACTGTTAACTATTACTGCGTCCGGATAGTTTAACATGCTCACTTTTTATCTTCTTGGAGAGCTAAGTAGTCACTGAACTGGTTTTATCTAAGTTGTTTCTTCCCATTGATTTTACTGCTTCTTCAACCTTTGTATTAAGAGAAATTATATGTTGGGTATGGCTATCTATGAACTGTTTGGATGGTCCCCTTGTCACAGTTAGTCATTCCTGGTGTTGATAACTTTGTTCAAGACTAGGATGTTTGTTTCGATTTGTGTCATCCTGGTGTCTTGTTTTGTTAGCGTCTCACGAAGATTCATAATTTCAATAACTAATGTTGGAGATGCCATTACTTTAGGGTACTGATCGTTGGTATACAGAGAGACTAATTGGTAGGTTGAATCCGGGAAGAGAGGGGAGGAGGTCTGGCGTCAGCCATGTTTTTGTTATATGTTGTGGTGTCCCGCCTTGAGTTGTGGTGAGTGGGTTGTTCGGGCCGGCTCCTCCTGACTACCATCTTGTTGAATAGATGATTTGTTCGGTGTTTTCTTGCTGGCCTTGGTGCTGTATCCTCTTAGATTGGGCGCCTCATAATACAACAGGAATTGTTGTTGTTAAAAGAAGTTGTAGTATACAAATGCTTAGGGTAACGTTGTTCCTGGCAGCGGGGTGGTTGCTTTCGTTTGTGTGTCAGTCCTTCCTTGGATTCTCTATTATTTTCCGATTTGTAGTTTTCACTGTTGGAATCTTTGTGTCATTCTGGGTGCTACGTTGGGTAGAGCAGTTTTTGCTTGTAACTAGGGCATCATAGGAGCTTGGTAGCTCTGGTAGTTGAGAAAAGTACGGAGTCTTGGAAGTCAGCTGGCTGGGCCGTGCCGCTGTGTTGGAGGAGAGACACAGCAGGATACAGCCAGGAGACACATAAATAACGGCCAACATGTCACAAGATAAATTAGACACACGTGCAACTCAGAATCTTTATGGAGGAAACGTTTCGCCACAGTGGCAACATCAGTCCCATATATATAGGAGACACTTGAAGAACAGGAGGAGAATGAGGTATTCAGTCCCTCAACCTTGGTCGATGTGTGGTCAGATCCATCAATCTGGACTGATGAAGTCACTGTGGCGAAACGTTTCCTCAGTAAACATTATTATTATTATTATTATTATTATATCAAGGGGAAGCGCTAAACCCGGAGGATTATACAGCGCCCAGGGGGGGGGATGTGGAAGGCATTCAGGCTTTTAATTCGGGGAACTGGAGCACAGATCTAATTCCCCTAAATCCCCTCAAGGGAAAGTGTTTCCTTGAATGTTGGACATGGCTCTTGATTTAGGGAATTGGATCTGTGCTCCAGTTCCCCGAATTAAGCCTGAATGTCTTCCACATCCCCCCCCAGGCGCTGTATAATCCTCCGGGTTTAGCGCTTCCCCTTTGATTATAATAATAATAATAATCCCCTAAATCAAGAGCCCCTCACCAACATCAAGGAACCTTCCTTGAGGGGCCGGGCTCAGATTATTATTATTATTATTATTATTATAATTATTATTATTATTATTCAGGGAACTGGAGCACAGTTCCAGTTCCCTAAATCAAGAGCCCCTGACCAACATCAAGGAACCTTGAGGGGTCAAGAGACCCAAGAGCTGCACATGTGTCTAATTTATCAACATGTCGGTTCTCTGAACCATTCATCTACAATATAAATTGTCATTTAAAGTGATGGGATCTTGATCCCAGGAATGGGAGTTGGTCCTTTTTTTTCTAACTAAGAGGAGCTATGTGCCCAGAAGGTGCTAGTTTCTAGTGACTTGTTAAAAAGTAATGAAATAGCATGCGAAAGGACATGGGCCGCTCGCTTGTACAATAATGGTGGGACATGAGACAGATTCCCTGAGTTATTTTTAAGTGACTTTATAATCTCGGTGACTTCCGTGGGCTCAGTTGGTACAAGATAGAAGGAATTTGGGAAATTCCCATCTAGGTAGTCCCCGGCATGGGCATTGGTACGTGGGATTTTATTGGTGGGATTAGATCCTATGTTTGAGAAGAAGCCGTTTATCTTGTTAGCTGTGTCAGTGGGATGTAGTGGTGTTTCATTAGGTTTAATTAGGACAATATTCTTGTTCTTTCTCAGTTTGTGGGTCCCTAGAATCTGAGTGTTTTCCAGGTCTTTTTTTAAATCTCCTCTTGTGTCAGTGAATCTACTGGAGTAGTATAGTTGTTTGGCTTTCTTTATTACTTCGGTGAGAACTGATGAATAGTGTTTAAGAATATCTTTGTGTATTAAGCCCTGGCTATATTGCTTTTCATATTGGTGTTTCTTATCAATGGATTTCAGAATGGTGCTGGTTAGCCATGGGCAACCAAGCTCCAAATTTTTCCCCTCCCACAAACTGAACCCTGTTAAGTTAATTTTACAAAGTGTTATAAAAAATATGCTGCAATTCTTCAGTAGTGCTATAACCAAAATGTGCCAAACAAAACCCTGTTAAACGACTGTCTACTCTACATAATTAGATATTTATAAATTTACTATGAAGTTCTTTTAATAAAAATATTTTCATACATTTGTAGGTAAGCATAAGTGCGAGTGAGTCTACACTGTGTTTAACGATGGTCCAGATCCCACAAAAAAGACGACGACTTGAAGAAACTATGGTAATGGACGATAAACCAGAGGTATAGGTGGTGCTAAATTTCTAATGGAAATGCAAAGTGAAAAACTTGCTTGTTATAATACCATCATTTGATACCATTATAAGTCATTAATAAAGCTCTATTTATTCACAGGGAGCCACCCTGGAGGGCGAAGGTGAGGATACTGCTCCTCCAGGAGAGGAAGGAAGCCACCAGGAGGTAAGGCTCTATCAAAGCTTTTTGTCAGTTTATTATATATATGAATAATATATAACATGAATAAGGAATATCCACTAGGAATTTTATTGACCTAAGAAAAGCTTTTGACACAGTAGACCATGGCATCCTACTCCACAAACTTGACCATTATGGTATAAGAGGCCATGTGCTTGCATATTTCAAATCTTACTAATAGGTATCAGTATGTCACCATTAAAGACACAGCATCAACAACATGGCCACTTGATACTGGAGTTCCGCAGGGAAGTGTCCTTGGTCCCCTGCTCTTCCTCATGTGCATCAATGATCTTCCAGTCGTATCCCAACACCTGAACCCCATTCTCTTTGTTGACGACACGACTTATGTCATCTCTCACCCTAATCTTGCCACCCTCAACACCATTGTTAACGAGGAGCTGATCAAATATCGACTTGGATGACAGCCAATAAACTTACGCTTAACACTGACAAAACCTACTATAATTATGTTTGGTAGCAGAGCAGGAGCTTCGCAAATTAACATTAAGATTGACAATACTCTAATTTCCAGACATAATGAGGGCAAATTCCTAGGCCTATACCTCGACAACAACCTGAATTTCAGCACCCATATCCAACACATAACCAAAAAGTATCCAAAACGGTTCTTATCCTCTCCAAGATACGATACTACATGCCGCAAAATGCCCTTCTCACACTATACCACTCACTTATTTATCCATACCTCACCTATGCTATTTGTGCTTGGGGATCAACTGCAGCAACACAAACCTAAAACCAATAATAACCAAACAAAAAGCCGCAGTAAGAATAATCACTAATTCCATCCCTGGCAACACACCCCCCCACTCTTCAAAAGATCTAAACTTACTCCTTGTTCAGTACATCCACACTTACTACTGTGCAATCTACATCTACAGGACCTTAAATTCCAATATTAACCTTGACCTAAATTGCTTTCTTGATAGTTGTGACAGGATCCACAGGCATAACACCAGACACAAACATCTCTATGACATTCCCCGTGTCCGACTAAACCTTTACAAAAATTCAATGTATGTCAAAGGCCCTAAAATCTGGAAGACCCTACCTGAAAACTCTAGAACTGCAGACACATTCATCACCTTCAAAACTACCATTAGAAAACATCTTATCTCCCTGATACACCCCGTCAACTAACTTCACGAATACCACCTGGTGGTTCACACTTACACTCACTTACCCATTTGACCATAAACAGAAATATCAATCTCAATCTTAAAATAATGAATCCTAACTAGTCATAAGTTGGCCTGTGATACTCCAATACTGAAACTGTATTGTGCCAAAACAAAAGCATTCACATTGCTAAACTCACAAACTAGTATTTAGTCACTTAGCCATAATACCAACTTACCTCATAATTTGTAATATTTTAAAGTTAAGAATTAATCTAAGTCTGCCCGAAATGCCTAGCCATGCTAGGTGTTCTAGTGGTACACTCTGTAATGCCTAGCCATGCTAGGTGTTCTAGTGGTACACTCTGTAATACCTAGCCATGCTAGGTGTTCTAGTGGTACACTCTGTAATGCCTAGCCATGCTAGGTGTTCTAGTGGTACACTCTGTAATGCCTAGCCATGCTAGGTGTTCTAGTGGTACACTCTGTAATGCCTAGCCATGCTAGGTGTTCTAGTGGTACACTCTGTAATGCCTAGCCATGCTAGGTGTTCTAGTGGTACACTCTGTAATGCCTAGCCATTCGTAAGATGAAATGATCGTAGGTTGAATTAATTTTCCCCATAGAAATAATGGAAATAAAATTAATCCGTGCAAGACACCCAAAATTATGAAAAAAAATTTACCACGTGAAATATACATTTTTCTACTCTGCTCTACTAAATGAAGAATTAATGACACTTACCTTTATTGAAGATGCAGCAATGACTGATGAGACACTGTGTCCTGGGAGTGCCTTTTCCTCCTTAGTACTGTAGGTCCTGTTTGGCATTTTCTTCCAGAACAGGCCTTATCACACTGTGTATGCCACTATATTCTTAAATCTCTCAACCAACCTTTGCTGGCCTTAAATTCACCAATATGAGCACTAGTTCCAGGCATTTTTTCTTGTTCACCTGGTGTTAGTTGACTGGTGTGGGTCACATCCTAAGAGACAAGATTAAGGACCCCAATGGAAATAAGTTAGACAGTTCTCGATAACACACTGACTTTTTTGGGTTATCCTGGGTGGCTAACCCTCTGGGGTTAATTGTTTCTTGGTATTCTTGATAAGCCACACCAACAACTGTGCTACAGCAGCAGCAGCAGCTGATGGTGCTACAGCAGCAGCAGCAGCAGCTGACCATGGTACAATAGTATTTCGATAATATTTCTCACCCTTTTTACCACAGGGTTGGCACTAGAACCTTTCTTTGGGCTCCTGGTGGCTTATTTAGCACTAGAAGCTTTCTTTGGGCTCTTGGTGGCTTATTTAGCAGTTAGAAGCACTAAAAACACTGGAATAATACAAAATATTCCGAATGTATGCTTGGGAGTGACCGCTCTGGCTTGTAAACATTGGCACACTAACTGCAGGCAGGCCAGCTGAGGCTGTGGATGTGTACTGGACGAATGCTGTAGGTCGAGTTTTTCAACATTGGGGTCAAATTTTTATGCTGAAAAGCATTGTAGGTCGGTTTTAACGTAGGTTGGGGATATCGTACGTCAGGGCCCACTGTACTTGAACTATGCCTTGCCTTAAAATCTTGTAAAGGTAAAAGTCCCTGTCCTTTTGGGGTCACCTATGTTATGCTTCAGTATCTTAGTCAGCCAAACCTGATTAAGTTGCTTTCATTGTACAACAAAACTTGGACGTCGTGTACATTTCCAAACGCATGTCATACTGATCCCCAAAAGGCTCGGGAGAATAACAAATCCCTCTCTTTTCCACCTTATTCCTGTGACTGACTGCCTCTGTAAAGTGTGGAATGAATGATTAACAATTTGTCCTAGAATGTTTGAGACTCAGTTGCACTTATCTCACTCACCTGAAGCTGTGCCTCAAATGTCAATTTTCCCTTCAGTGTTACTGAAGCAGTTTCCTCACCATACCTCACATCCTGTTCTCTGTAAACTTTTTCTCGTTATCCTCTTTTATGTCTGCAAAAAGGAACACCTCCCATTCACAATTGATTCCCTTCTTCACGATGATTATCCATCTGTTGTCAACTCCCAGATTCATTTTCTCAAAGAGGCAAATTTGATTAGGGTGATGTAGTTTATGTACTCATACCTGTACATATTCATTTATATGTTACCTCATTGCTTGTAATCCCTTCCTGCCACCATACTTCATTCATTTTTTCTTGAATTCTGCCTCCTCTTCTATTTAAGCACCTCTCCTATGCATTGCATTTTTGTGTGTGACTTATTTTGACAAGATAAGCCTACAATAATAGTTTATACTGTTCACCTTACACTGAAAACTAAACATTCCACCCTTCTACACTATATTTCCACATTCATGTTCTCAACATTTAGGTAGTTGTAGGTTTCTTCTTCCTTGTCCCTTCCATTACTACTAGGTGACCTTGTGTCGTTTATTAAAAAGGGCACCTCTAACTTAATGACTTCCTTATAGGTCAAGGGCTGTTAAGCCCAACAAGGCAGGAAGAATTTCTCTCAGCATATATATACTGAGCAGTTGCTTTAATTCTTATTTTTGGGATTAATGTATTCTTGTCTGGTTATGAAAAGGATACCGTGCAACCTTAATGATCCTCGAGTATTTGAGAAGCGTTAAACTACCATTAACTAACGCAGTCTCAGATTCAGTATGCCATCAACCGCCGCCAGTGTTTTTTTTTTTTTATTTAATATATTTATTATGCACCCCATATCTATCTTGTGGGCGGCACTCAAAAGATTACAGACACACAAAATAGGTCCAGGGTCTCAGGAGATTATGTGCCTCTAATCGTTGGTGCTATGGTAATGGACGATAAACCAGAGGTATAGGTGGTGCTATTACTAATGGAAATGCAAAGTGAAAAACTTGCTTGTTATAATACCATCATTTGATACCATTATAAGTCATTAATAAAGCTCTATTTATTCACAGGGAGCCACCCTGGAGGGCGAAGGTGAGGATACTGCTCCTCCAGGAGAGGAAGGAAGCCACCAGGAGGTAAGGCTCTATCAAAGCTTTTTGTCAGTTTATTATATATATGAATAATATATATACATGAATAAGGAATATCCACTAGGAATTTTTATTGACCTAAGAAAAGCTTTTGACACAGTAGACCATGGCATCCTACTCCACAAACTTGACCATTATGGTATAAGAGGCCATGTGCTTGCATATTTCAAATCTTACTAATAGGTATCAGTATGTCACCATTAAAGACACAGCATCAACAACATGGCCACTTGATACTGGAGTTCCGCAGGGAAGTGTCCTTGGTCCCCTGCTCTTCCTCATGTGCATCAATGATCTTCCAGTCGTATCCCAACACCTGAACCCCATTCTCTTTGTTGACGACACGACTTATGTCATCTCTCACCCTAATCTTGCCACCCTCAACACCATTGTTAACGAGGAGCTGATCAAAATATCAACTTGGATGACAGCCAATAAACTTACGCTTAACACTGACAAAACCTACTATATTATGTTTGGTAGCAGAGCAGGAGCTGCGCAAATTAACATTAAGATTGACAATACTCTAATTTCCAGACATAATGAGGGCAAATTCCTAGGCCTATACCTCGACAACAACCTGAATTTCAGCACCCATATCCAACACATAACCAAAAAAGTATCCAAAACGGTTCTTATCCTCTCCAAGATACGATACTACATGCCGCAAAATGCCCTTCTCACACTATACCACTCACTTATTTATCCATACCTCACCTATGCTATTTGTGCTTGGGGATCAACTGCAGCAACACACCTAAAACCAATAATAACCAAACAAAAAGCCGCAGTAAGAATAATCACTAAATTCCATCCCTGGCAACACACCCCCCCACTCTTCATAGATCTAAACTTACTCCTTGTTCAGTACATCCACACTTACTACTGTGCAATCTACATCTACAGGACCTTAAATTCCAATATTAACCTTGACCTAAATTGCTTTCTTGATAGTTGTGACAGGATCCACAGGCATAACACCAGACACAAACATCTCTATGACATTCCCCGTGTCCGACTAAACCTTTACAAAAATTCAATGTATGTCAAAGGCCCTAAAATCTGGAAGACCCTACCTGAAAACTCTAGAACTGCAGACACATTCATCACCTTCAAAACTACCATTAGAAAACATCTTATCTCCCTGATACACCCCGTCAACTAACTTCACGAATACCACCTGGTGGTTCACACTTACACTCACTTACCCATTTGACCATAAACAGAAATATCAATCTCAATCTTAAAATAATGAATCCTAACTAGTCATAAGTTGGCCTGTGATACTCCAATACTGAAACTGTATTGTGCCAAAACAAAAGCATTCACATTGCTAAACTCACAAACTAGTATTTAGTCACTTAGCCATAATACCAACTTACCTCATAATTTGTAATATTTTAAAGTTAAGAATTAATCTAAGTCTGCCCGAAATGCCTAGCCATGCTAGGTGTTCTAGTGGTACACTCTGTAATGCCTAGCCATGCTAGGTGTTCTAGTGGTACACTCTGTAATGCCTAGCCATGCTAGGTGTTCTAGTGGTACACTCTGTAATGCCTAGCCATGCTAGGTGTTCTAGTGGTACACTCTGTAATGCCTAGCCATGCTAGGTGTTCTAGTGGTACACTCTGTAATTAGTATTTTGCTACATGTAAACCACACAATAACCAAATTCTGTAAACTTTGAATTTGAATTTGAACTAACAAAAAAATAAGTACAGTCATGCAGACATATTTCTATCAGTGTTTTCAGGCTTATTAACATGTGATAGAGCTCTCACACACTAGTGTTCAGCAGTAGTTAACATGTGATAGAGCTCTCACACACTAGTGTTCAGCAGTAGTCTACCATCAAAGTGACCAGGTTTCCCTAAAATCTCTTCTCCATGATGGCTATGTCATTGTGAAATCATTCACCGTGAGGTTCGCTTTTGTAAAAACTGTACGGCTGGAGCAAAACTTAAGTTCAGATTTGACTTCAGCATCCCAAAATAAGTTAGAAACACATTTCTAAATGAATCGAAACTTCAGTTAACTGTTATTTTTACATTAGACTGTTAAGATTAGAAAATGAAATTGATTTATATTGCAGAAATACAATCATAGCTTAAAATATTTCATGTGTGGACCGTAGAATGTTTCATGTGAGACCATAGAATGTTTACATAGACCATAGAATGTGCTTGTGTGGACCATAGAATGTATTTCATATGAGGATCGCATAATGGATTTTTTTCCAAGCCATTCTCCATCTCATGGGAAGGGATTTTTCACACTTTTATCACACCATAGTTTACCAAGTCATACTCCATCCTACACCATTGTTTACCATTATACTCCATCCTACACCATCGTTTACCATTATACTCCATTATACACCATTGTTTACCCAGTCATACTCCATTCTACACCATCGTTTACCCAGTCATACTCCATCCTACACCGTCGTTTACTCAGTCATATCTCACAAGACTCCTGCGCCCAATGAATCTTATGCCTCAGCTGCACGTACCCCTACATCACCTAAATCTTCTAAGCCCAACTCTTCTAAAACCACTGCTTAAGCCTTCTCTTCCCCTTCATGCTGCTGAGTATTCCACACACACTCCAAAGAAGAGAAGCGATGTACACCGTTTACCCAAATGCGAGTCACTCCCTCTTTGCCCTCTCCCCAAGTCTTCGCTCATCCAATGTCTACAGGTCCCATATACGTAGTTGAACTCTTTGTCGAGATCGAGTTCACAAGACTTGTGTTCTAGTGTTGAAATCACTCGCCAGGGACATGATTTATCCCACAGTCTCTCTCTATGAGGGAACAAGAGATCTAGAGCAAATGGCCTTAAAAGGAATCAGATCTTAAACTAACACATTCAGTATCTTACAGTGGAATTGTCGTGGTCTTAGGAACAAATGATTACAACTTTCATTGCTAATAAGACTTTATTAACACTCCATTATTTGCCTATAGGAGACACTTTTTACCAGAATGGTTGTAGACTGTGCTGCTCATCGAAACTACCATTTGTATACCAGTCAAGGGGCACGGAATCCTCGTTTATGTTCACAATACTTTACTTTCATATGGAGTGCCGTTGTATTCAAATCTCAGTTCTGTCACTTGTTGATTTAAATTCAATGAGGCGTACCTGGATGTTTTTTTAATGTATTATCCTCACTCTGAGTCACTTGATGTTGATGGGTTTCACTCTCATTAATTAGTTGCCCCAGCCTAAGCTGGGGCAACTAATTAATGCTTCCACCCTTACCAATGGCACACCCATCAGCCAGGTCTGGACCACTATTCACTGCATCACCAGACAAAATGTTAAATACCCCATCACTTCCTTAACCATTAATGACACAGTTGTTGATATTCCCATGAACATAGCCAGCACCATCACCAAGAGGTTTGGATTAAACAGTAGCTCGGCCAACTACCATCCAGCTTTTTTTACATCACAAAGTTATGGTCGAGTGTACTCTTATAGACTTCGTCACAGAAGGTCATAACAACTTCTACAACTTTGACTCACGAAATCATAATATCACGATTGCACACAAATCAAGGAACGGGTGGGGTTTGAATCCATCTGGCTGAGTGGTTAAAGCACTGGTCTTTGAGTTATAGGATTCACTCACCATGGGTTCAAACCCCACACATTCCTGATTTATCCTACAACTGTGTTTTCATAGTACAGTGGTCCTCCGACCTACGATATTAATCCGTTCCTGAGAGCCCATCGTAAGATGAAATGATCGTAGGTTGAATTAATTTTCCCCATAAGAAATAATGGAAATAAAATTAATCCGTGCAAGACACCCAAAATTATGAAAAAAAATTTACCACGTGAAATATACATTTTTCTACTCTGCTCTACTAAATGAAGAATTAATGACACTTACCTTTATTGAAGATGCAGCAATGACTGATGAGACACTGTGTCCTGGGAGTGCCTTTTCCTCCTTAGTACTGTAGGTCCTGTTTGGCATTTTCTTCCAGAACAGGCCTTATCACACTGTGTATGCCACTATAATTCTTAAATCTCTCAAACCAACCTTTGCTGGCCTTAAATTCACCAATATGAGCACTAGTTCCAGGCATTTTTTCTTGTTCACCTGGGTGTTAGTTGACTGGTGTGGGTCACATCCTAAGAGACAAGATTAAGGACCCCAATGGAAATAAGTTAGACAGTTCTCGATAACACACTGACTTTTTTGGGTTATCCTGGGTGGCTAACCCTCTGGGGTTAATTGTTTCTTGGTATTCTTGATAAGCCACACCAACAACTGTGCTACAGCAGCAGCAGCAGCTGATGGTGCTACAGCAGCAGCAGCAGCAGCTGACCATGGTACAATAGTATTTCGATAATATTTCTCACCCTTTTTACCACAGGGTTGGCACTAGAACCTTTCTTTGGGCTCTTGGTGGCTTATTTAGCAGTTAGAAGCACTAAAAACACTGGAATAATACAAAATATTCCGAATGTATGCTTGGGAGTGACCGCTCTGGCTTGTAAACATTGGCACACTAACTGCAGGCAGGCCAGCTGAGGCTGTGGATGTGTACTGGACGAATGCTGTAGGTCGAGTTTTTCAACATTGGGGTCAAATTTTTATGCTGAAAAGCATTGTAGGTCGGTTTTAACGTAGGTTGGGGATATCGTACGTCAGGGCCCACTGTACTTGAACTATGCCTTGCCTTAAAATCTTGTAAAGGTAAAAGTCCCTGTCCTTTTGGGGTCACCTATGTTATGCTTCAGTATCTTAGTCAGCCAAACCTGATTAAGTTGCTTTCATTGTACAACAAAACTTGGACGTCGTGTACATTTCCAAACGCATGTCATACTGATCCCCAAAAGGCTCGGGAGAATAACAAATCCCTCTCTTTTCCACCTTATTCCTGTGACTGACTGCCTCTGCAAAGTGTGGAATGAATGATTAACAATTTGTCCTAGAATGTTTGAGACTCAGTTGCACTTATCTCACTCACCTGAAGCTGTGCCTCAAATGTCAATTTTCCCTTCAGTGTTACTGAAGCAGTTTCCTCACCATACCTCACATCCTGTTCTCTGTAAACTTTTTCTCGTTATCCTCTTTTATGTCTGCAAAAAGGAACACCTCCCATTCACAATTGATTCCCTTCTTCACGATGATTATCCATCTGTTGTCAACTCCCAGATTCATTTTCTCAAAGAGGCAAATTTGATTAGGGTGATGTAGTTTATGTACTCATACCTGTACATATTCATTTATATGTTACCTCATTGCTTGTAATCCCTTCCTGCCACCATACTTCATTCATTTTTTTCTTGAATTCTGCCTCCTCTTCTATTTAAGCACCTCTCCTATGCATTGCATTTTTGTGTGTGACTTATTTTGACAAGATAAGCCTACAATAATAGTTTATACTGTTCACCTTACACTGAAACTAACATTCCACCCTTCTACACTATATTTCCACATTCATGTTCTCAACATTTAGGTAGTTGTAGGTTTCTTCTTCCTTGTCCCTTCCATTACTACTAGGTGACCTTGTGTCGTTTATTAAAAAGGGCACCTCTAACTTAATGACTTCCTTATAGGTCAAGGGCTGTTAAGCCCAACAAGGCAGGAAGAATTTCTCTCAGCATATATATACTGAGCAGTTGCTTTAATTCTTATTTTTGGGATTAATGTATTCTTGTCTGGTTATGAAAAGGATACCGTGCAACCTTAATGATCCTCGAGTATTTGAGAAGCGTTAAACTACCATTAACTAACGCAGTCTCAGATTCAGTATGCCATCAACCGCCGCCAGTGTTTTTTTTTTTTATTTAATATATTTATTATGCACCCCATATCTATCTTGTGGGCGGCACTCAAAAGATTACAGACACACAAAATAGGTCCAGGGTCTCAGGAGATTATGTGCCTCTAATCGTTGGTGCTATGGTAATGGACGATAAACCAGAGGTATAGGTGGTGCTATTACTAATGGAAATGCAAAGTGAAAAACTTGCTTGTTATAATACCATCATTTGATACCATTATAAGTCATTAATAAAGCTCTATTTATTCACAGGGAGCCACCCTGGAGGGCGAAGGTGAGGATACTGCTCCTCCAGGAGAGGAAGGAAGCCACCAGGAGGTAAGGCTCTATCAAAGCTTTTTGTCAGTTTATTATATATATGAATAATATATATACATGTTTAGAAGCATACACATATAAAGATACACAACATATCCCTCCAAACTGCCAATATCCCAAACCCCTCCCCCAAAGTGCAGGCATTGTACTTCCCACTTCCAGGACTCAAGTCCGACTACATGAAAATAACCGGTTTCCCTGAATCCCTTCACTAAATATTACCCTGCTCACACTCCAACAGATCGTCAGGTCCCAAGTAGCATTCGTCTCCATTCACTCCTATCTAACATGCTCACGCACGCTTGCTAGAAGTCCAAGCCCCTTGCCCACAAAACCTCCTTTACCCCCTCTCTCCAACCCTTTCGAGGACGACCCCTACCCCGCCTTCCTTCCCCTATAGATTTATATGCTTTCCATGTCATTCTACTTTGATCCATTCTCTCTAAATGACCAAACCACCTCAACAACCCCTCTTCTGCCCTCTGACTAATACTTTTATTAACTCCACAACTTTTCCTAATTTCCACACTCCGAATTTTCTGCATAATATTTACACCACACATTGCCCTTAAACAGGACATCTCCACTGCCTCCAACCGTCTCCTCGTTGCTGCATTTACCACCCAAGCTTCACACCCATTTAAGAGTGTTAGTACTACTATACTTTCATACATTCCCTTCTTTGCCTCCATAGATAACGTTTTTTGACTCCACATAAACCTCAACGCACCACTCACCTTTTTTCCCTCATCAATTCTATGATTAACCTCATCCTTCATAAATCCATCCGCCGACACGTCAACTCCCAAGTATCTGAAAACATTCACTTCTTCCATACTCCTCCTCCCCAATTTGATATCCAATTTTTCTTTATCTAAATCATTTGACACCCTCATCACCTTACTCTTTTCTATGTTCACTTTCAATTTTCTACCTTTACACACATTCCCAAACTCATCCACTAACCTTTGCAATTTTTCTTTTGAATCTCCCATAAGCACAGTATCATCAGCAAAAAGTAACTGTGTCAATTCCCGTTTTGAATTTGATTCCCCAAAATTTAATCCCACCCCTCTCCCAAACACCCTAGCATTTACTTCTTTTACAACCCCATCTATAAATATATTAAACAACCATGGTGACATTACACATCCCTGTCTAAAACCTACTTTTACCGAGAAGTAGTCTCCCTCTCTTCTACACACCCTAACCTGAGCCTCACTATCCTCATAAAAACTCTTTACAGCATTTAATAACTTACCACCTATTCCATATACTTGCAACATCTGCCACATTGCTCCTCTCTCCACTCTATCATATGCCTTTTCTAAATCCATAAATGCAATAAAAACTTCCCTACCTTTATCTAAATACTGTTCACATATATGCTTCAATGTAAACACTTGATCTACACATCCCCTACCCACTCTGAAACCTCCTTGCTCATCCGCAATCCTACATTCTGTCTTACCTCTAATTCTTTCAATTATAACCCTACCGTACACTTTTCCTGGTATACTCGGTAAACTTATTCCTCTATAATTTTTACAGTCCGGCCTGCCGGTTTCCCTGAATCCCTTCATAAATGTTACTTTGCTCACACTCCAACAGCACGTCAAGTATTAAAAACCATTTGTAGGAGTGAATGGAGACAAATGGTTTTTAATACTTGACGTGCTGTTGGAGTGTGAGCAAAGTAACATTTATGAAGGGATTCAGGGAAACCGGCAGGCCGGACTTGAGTCCTGGAGATGGGAAGTACAGTGCCTGCACTCTGAAGGAGGGGTGTTAATGTTGCAGTTTAAAAACTGTAGTGTAAAGCACCCTTCTGGCAAGACAGTGATGGAGTGAATGATGGTGAAAGTTTTTCTTTTTCGGGCCACCCTGCCTTGGTGGGAATCGGCCGGTGTGATAATAATAAAAAAAAAAAAATTTTTACAGTCTCTTTTGTCCCCTTTCCCTTTATATAAAGGGACTATACATGCTCTCCACCAATCCCTAGGTACCTTCCACTCTTTCATACATTTATTAAACAAAAGTACCAACCACTCCAACACTATACCCCCCCCCCTGCTTTTAACTTTCTCTCATGATCCCATCAGTTCCAGCTGCTTTACCCCCTTTAATTCTACGTAATGCCTCATGTACCTCCCCCACACTTACATTCTGCTCTTCTTCACTCCTAAAAGATGGTATACCTCCCTGACCAGTGCATGAAATTACTGCCTCTCTTTCTTCCTTAACATTTAAAAGTTCCTCAAAATATTCTCGCCATCTACCTAATACCTCCATCTCCCCATCTACTAACTCCCCTACTCTGTTTTTAACTGACAAATCCATACTTTCCCTAGGCTTTCTTAACTTGTTTAACTCACTCCAAAATATTTTCTTATTTTCATTAAAATTTCTTGACAGTGCCTCTCCCACTCTATCATCTGCTCTCCTTTTGCATTCTCTCACCACTCTCTTTACCTTTCTTTTACTCTCCATATACATACTCTGCTCTTCTTATAACACTTCTGCTTTGTAAAAACCTCTCATAAGCTACCTTTTTCTCTTTTATCACACCCTTTTACTTCATCATTCCACCAAATCACTCCTCTTTCCTCCTGCCTCACCCTCCTATAACCAAAACTTCTGCCCACACATTATAATACTGCATTTTTAAAACTATTTCCAACCCTCTTCATCCCCCCCACTACTCATCTTTGCACTAGCCCACCTTTCTGCAATAGTCGCATATATATATATATATATATATATATATATATATATATATATATATATATATATATATATATATATATATATATATATATAATATATATATATATATATATATATTAACAATACTTTTTCAACAAGTCGGCCGTCTCCCACCGAGGCAGGGTGACCCAAAAAAGTGTTCTAAATGCTCTAAATCGTCGAAATATGCAGAAAAACATCATTTTACCATATTTTTCGATTTTTTCAATGCTTCAGCTATTTCATATATTTCAAGCATTTCATATATTTCATATAGTTTTTAAAAATACCAAAAGCATTGAAAACATCGAAAAATATGGCAAAATGATGTTTTACTGCATATTTCGACGATTTAGAGCATTTAGAACACTTTTCAGACAAACCTGACATTTTAGCTAAAATTCATGGATTTTCAAACTTTTTTATCAGAATTGCTAGAAGTGTTCTAAATGCTCCAAATCGTCGAAATATGCAGTAAAACACCATTTTACCATATTTTTTTATTTTTTAAATGCTTCAGGTATTTTTAAAAATAGCAAAAGCATTGAAAAAATCGAAAAATATGGTAAAATGATGTTTTACTGCATATTTTGACGATTTGGAGCATTTAGAACACTTTTCAGACAAACCTGATATTTTAGCTAAAATTCATGGATTTTCAAACTTTTTTATCAGAATTGCTAATGCAATTGAATTTTTCGAGGCTTTTCAATATTTTAAAGTATATTACATATTTTTCAAAAAGCCCAAAAAATTTCGATGAAATTCAGAAATATTTTTGAATATTTCATATATTTTTTAAAAAATACCAAAAGCATTGAAAAAATCGAAAAATGTGGCAAAATGATGTTTTACTGCATACAGTGGACCCCCGCATACCGTACGCATCGCATAACGTTCAATCCGCATACCGCTTGCTTTTATCGCAAAAAATTTGCCTCACATACCGCTCAAAAACCTGCTCACTGCTCTTCGTCCGAGACGCATCCAATGTGCGCCCTTAGCCAGCCTCACATGTGCCGCCGGTGACATTGTTTACCAGCCAGCCTCCGCGGTAACATCCAAGCATACAATCGGAACATTTCGTATTATTACAGTGTTTTTGGTGATTTTATCTGGAAAATAAGTGACCATGGGCCCCAAGAAAGCTTCTAGTGCCAACCCTACAGCAATAAGGGTGAGAATTACTATAGAGATAAAGAAAAAGATCATTGATAAGTATGAAAGTGGAGTGCGTGTCTCCGAGCTGGCCAAGTTGTATAATAAACCCCAATCAACCATCGCTACTATTGGTGAGACAGCTGCTGCTGCTGCTGTACCACCGTCAGCTGCTGCTGCTGCTGCACTGTCAGCTGCTGCTGCTGCTGTAGCATCGTCTGCTGCTGCTGTAGCATCGTCTGCTGCTGCTGTAGCTCTGTCAGCTGCTGCTGCTGTTGTACCACCGTCAGCTGCTGCTGCTGCTGCTGTAGTACCGTCTGCTGCTGCTGTAGTACCGTCTGCTGCTGCTGTAGCATCATCTGCTGCTGCTGTAGCACTGTCAGCTGCTGCTGCTGCTGCTGTAGCACCGTTGTTGGTGTGGCTTATTGAGAATACCAAGAAACAATTAACCCCAGAGGATTTGCCACCCAGGATAACCCAAAAAAGTCAGTGTCATCGAAGACTGTCTAACTTATTTCCATTGGGGTCCTTAATCTTGTCTCCCAGGATGCAACCCACACCAGTCGACTAACACCCAGGTGAACAGGGAAAAATGCCTGGAACTAGTGCTCATATTGGTGAATTTAAAGCCAGCAAAGATTGGTTTGAGAGATTTAAGAATCGTAGTGGCATACAGTGTGATAAGGCCTGTTCTGGAAGAAAATGCCAAACAGGACCTACAGTACTCAGGAGGAAAAGGCACTCCCAGGACACAGTGTCTCATCAGTCATTGCTGCATCTTCAATAAAGGTAAGTGTCATTTATTCTTCATTTAGTAGAGTAGTACATGCACAATATATATTGTGCATGTACTACTCTACTATTGTGCATGTATCCTTCTCTTTGTGTGTAGGAAAATGTATATTTCATGTGGTAAAATTTTTTTTTTCATACTTTTGGGTGTCTTGCACGGATTAATTTGATTTCCATTATTTCTTATGGGGAAAATTCATTCGCATACCGAACATTTCTCATAACAACCAGCCCTCTTGCACGGATTAAGGTCGCTATGCGGGGGTCCACTGTACATCATTTTTTGTATATAGTTCTACTGTCTGCACTCTGAAGCAGAAGTAGGGTTGTTGTAGTCGGAGTGTAATCTGAATTGTGAGGTTAGCTCA